ATGATTCTCAATTATTTACTAATTGTTACTTAATAATACAAACATAATATGGTTTTTGAAAAATGTTTGAATTAAATATGAACACATGTATAGTATATATTATATTTAAAGTATTTTGTTTAAAAAAACTATTATTTTAAAAGAATTTATTAATATATTTTTTATTAAACTTCAAATCAACTATTATTAAAATAAAAAATTAATTATATTATAAATCTAATATTTAAAAATACTGTATGTTATTATTAAGATCTATTTATTGTTTTTTATATATATAAATAAATAAATTAAAAAAATAAATTGTTAAATTTTTTTTATTGGTTAAGGGTATTAGATACAAAACTTTATTAATAATTATATATTTAACTATAATATCAAATATTTTTACAAGCTAAATTATCTCTTTTTTTTTTTTTTTAATTAGAACAGTTAATATCCAAAGCTTTATTTATAAGGAATTACTTATTACTGACAATATTACAAATATATAAAGGCTAACTTATATCTCTTTTTACTAAAAAGAGTTTAATACAAGACTAAAAAAAAAAAAGATTCATATGTTTTAGTTATTTTTTTTTTAATAACTATTTAAGCAGTAACAAAAAAATTTTCAAAATCTATATATCTCAGGTGGTATCTAATAAAGGATTAGAGAATTTGTGATATCCAATTATATAAAGGTACTGTAGTTAGGTATATAGGTTTATTTTCAAGTCATAAGTGGGATTTAGTACATTTGTTTTTCAAAGTTGACTTAATATATAGCAAGCAAAGTGAAAAAGAAAAAAGTTGATTTTTTATGCATAAAGGTACTGTAGTCACTTTTAATAGGTTGGCCTTCAAGTTATATAAAGAGTTTGGCATATCTATTTTCAAAGCATAACAGGAGTGTTCAATGAATAGAGTTGAGTTAGAATTTCTTAAAGATATTATTATCTAATTATATATATGGATCTATATTGTTAAGAAGTAAGTAAGAAACTTATGTTATTGATATCAGCTCTGTTTGTAAGAATAATTAGAATCACTGGTTATTATGTATCATCTTACTAGGTATTTCAGATATTAGCATATTATTTGTAGAATTCTATATTGGTATTGGTTATTATATAACTGAATACAATAGGGTATAACTCTTTAGAAGTAAGCTAAATTATTTTTATTCTAAATATAAATTAATATTATCTAATAAATACTATTTCCAATACTACTGATTTTTCTTGAGTTAAATCAACTACTCTAACTAATTAACTTATATCTAGAAAATAGGTTTGCATCAAATAAGATTTATACATGTATAAGAGAAAGAAAATACTATTACTAGTCTAAATCTATCCATTCTATTAATCCAATTATATTTATTTTTAAAAAATTATATAAAGTTACAAGTTTAATAATATAAAATCTATAGTTTTAACAAACTTTATTAAAAAAGTGTTTGTTAGAATAATCAACAAAGGATTAATAAAGATTCTTAAATTAAACAATATTTTATTTAAATTCAATTATATTTAACTATATAATTATAATTCTAAACTAATACAGAAATAATATTAGTTTGTAATAAATTTAATATTAACTTGATATTGAAATGATACTATTAAAAATTCTATATATTATCAAAATATTTTAGTATCTTTAATAATAATTAACTCTATTTTATATATAGTTAATACAAACAATAAAGAATTTTGATTTATATTTTTAGATATTGCAAAAATATTTGAATTAATATCTATTTTGACTATAAAAAATTACATAAAAAAATTAATTGTTTTATTAATCTACTTATTAAATTTCTTAGTAACAATAAATTATTTATAAATATACTTTTTAAAGTTACAAATTCTTTTATAATAAATAATAAAATTAAATAAGACAAACTTTTATCTTTTATTATATGAATAATATTTTATAACTCTTTTATTACCAGATTAGATTTTTATCAATTAATTTAAAGCTATATCACTTTCAATACTTCAGCATATATAGATGATTTGGTTTTTATTATCAATAGCAAACAGAATATAAAAAGTCTATTCTTAAGCCAATTAGATTTTCTCAATAAACAATATTACTTGTAACAAAAACAAAACAAAAATAATATACAAATTAAAATAAAAAAATAGTGATTGCTTACAAAATAAATAAATAAATAAATAAATAAAAGTTATATTACAGTATATATACAGTATACAGTATACAGTATACAGTATATAGTATGTTAAAAACTTTTTTTGTTTAGATTTTTGAATTTTTTAAAAGTTATTTATTCTTACTAATTTTTTTTATAAAGATTTTTAAAAAAATTTATTATAATTGTTAATATGTTTATGAAAAAATTTTATAATTTCATATTCAATATTTAAAATTGTGAGAGAATCTTGCTTAATAAATTTAAATACATATAATAAATTTATAAAGATGATTTTTTTTTTAGATAAATATATTAATTATATAAATAATAGTTATAAGTATAATAAATAGAAAGAAACGATTGATTTTTAAAAAACAACAAGTAATTATTTGAAATGACAAGGTTTAATATTTAATTTTTTAAAATGATAGTATAAATAAGTTTTAAAAAAATCATAAAAAAAAAAGGAATATATATTTGATGCAAGATGTATTTGTTTTTTAAAATCAAAGTTTCAACTTGATTAATAATAATAATAAAGATATTTAAAAAAATTCTTAACAGTAAAAAAAAACCGAATTTAATCAGATAAGATGTTTTAATAAATCTAGTTAATACCGTAGAATGCCTCATAGAGTTGCCACTGTTATTAAAGCAAATGATTATCAATTTTATACAGAATCGTAGATATTCATCATGCGGACACCCTAAACTAGTTTCGACTGAACTACTAACATGTACTGCATGTAAGGATGTTAAACGGTTTTAAATCGTCGAGCTCGGGTTCCAAATTACATAAACCGAACCTAACTGGGTCTTCACTTTAAAAAAGAACGCACGAACTGGTTAAACTAGGTAGTTGGAACGATTTAAGTTCAAACTGGTTAAACTAATTTCGACCGAACTACTTACAGTTTTATTAAGATTGGTTTTTACAGAACCTACTGTATTAATTGAGTGTAGAAATATAACAACATCCTGAAACCAGTATTAAATTACGTGCATATATTAATAATGCTACAGTATATTTGCAATCCGATTACAACATGGCTACAATAGGAATTCGCAACCATCTTTGAATCGCATGGTTTTCATGCTTTCAATGGACACACAGTTATGGCAGAACTATGTGATTGTCTTCTGAAAATTCCAGGTCGTCAAGTTCTTGTGAATTCTGCTTTAAACCATTTGGTGAAGTGGGTATGAGAAATAGTATAAGTAGCAGTTTCGTGAAGAAATAATGTTTTATAGAAGAGTTTTGGGTGCAAATACCTACAGTATCTATCGCAATTGACGAGTGATTGTCGTACAAAGTCAGAGGATGAATGCGCGAGAATATATTAAACCGTGACTTTGAAAAAGAATTGCAATCGACACAGGCGTGAAAACACAATTTTACGGGTTTCTCAAGACCAGTGTTCCAAAAGAGAGCACGATTTTATAAACAGCTATTACTAATGAAGCAAATATTTTTGCTGTTGTTAAAGTCCATAATGCAAAATGTCTCGTGGACCTAGTCATATTTTCGATATGATGTACAGACGGGTGGCACAAACAAAATCTTCGTGTTATATCGAAGTTTTTTTATACAATTATCAAGTTCATCAATTATATTTTTTGGATGTGAAATCTCAAATCCTTTGAATTTTTCTTTCAGAGGCTGTCTTAATTAATAAAGTAAGTTTTCAATTTTTACATACAGTACAATTTTTATTTAAATTATAAACAATCTCTGTGAAAAAAGTCCAAAAGACCTGAAATTTCTTTTCTGAAAAGTACTGTATAATCAATGAACCTGGTAATTGTGTAATATACGACAGCACTGTATACTGTATACTGTATATACGGTACTTCTTGAAAATGCAGCTCAACAATACTGAAAATTCATTCAGATTATTCCCTCATCTTATAGTCGGATTGTTAATTCGTTCAGTTTATTCACTCATCTTATAGTCGGACTGTTCACGGTACGCTTTGCATATTCTTCTGATGAGGAGGGTTTAAACCGAAGGTACTATTCCCATTTGGTTCCTTTGATATTGACAAACGCGGTGATGTATCTATGCATGAGGTAAGCGTAAAGGGCAAATTATAGATATCACGTATATATCAAATGATTTAATGAGAAAAGATAACCATACAGACCATGCGCCTTGCATTATAATTCGATGACATCAAGACGGTTAATTTGCACGTACTTACATATCATCCTTCGCCAGGGATAAAAATACCCGATCAGACAATTCATTGGCAATTAAAAATTCACCATGTGAAGTTAAGATGGAGATCGTTGTGCGACCCCACGTGGTGCGCGTAGTCCCTCTGATGGTAATTTCTAGTTAATCCGAAAGGGTTTACATACCATTGTTCGGGGCTTCGGAAATACGTATCAGTAAGAATAATCCGTGGGATGTAATCGTTTGGTCGCAAAATGATATCGACGTGAACATTTGGATTCATTCTACGATCGATTTCGGTTAATCCTGTTTTTTTTGTCACGGGGTGATCATCGGAGGTCCTGTCGCACTGATCCTTCTAAACCGAAAAAAACTTTGTGATCGTACCAAAAGGGGCAGTTCCAAAAGGAGAACGGAAATACCTTTTTTGTTCATTCATTAAAAGCGGAAGGGACAAATCTGCGTGGATTCCCTAATCTTTGTCGATTTAGAAACTTATCGCAAAGATATGATTTCCTTGTTGTTCATCGGATGACGCGTGAAAAGGTGACCGCATAAATTATGTAGAGATAGAGTGGAAAAAGTAATATAAAGGATCGGAGGCTATAGCTTCAGAGTTTTTTATTTTTTACGAAAAAATTTTCTCCAGAATTTATGCTCCCCGGGTAAACGTGTGACGGAGTGCGATGAAATTTGCCAAAACCCTTCAATCGGAAGTCGTACTAGAATGGAGCACGAAGTAATTGCCCACTCGACTTGTGTTCATATTTGTGACGATGCACGACGTGTAATGATTATTCTTTTCTAAAAAAAAAAAAATTAGATACGTTGACTACAAAGGGTTGAAGGGAAAGTTGAGAGCCGTTGAACGAGCAAAACGTAATCGAGAGAACCGCTTGTCAGCCACAACCTTCAGGCGTAGCCTTGAAAGTTATAGAAGTTATCCAAATGATGTAAATGATGATCATCGTTCCGAATTTTCAGTAAAACAACCTCCAGGACTACTCTCGAATGCCTCTCAACGTGCCATGAGCTTTACGAGCATAGCTGAAAGCACGGGCTCTTGGTTTAACAAAGTCTCTTTCATGTTGTCAAATTGGAAGAAACATTCGGCAGATTCCGTGTTTCCCGATCACCGTAGGTTACCTCTTTCTTTTCTAAATTTATCAAAGAACTCATGTCGCTTATGATCTTGTTCTTCAATTTCGCAGACCCGACACCAATCGTTATAACCTCCCTCGAGACACTCATGCTCCAAGCAAATCGCCAAGAGCGTGAATTTTTCACCATGTTACAAGAAGAACTGGATAAAGTTAACTATTTTTATGAAGGTGGGTAAAGTGTTTTCGATGAAACACACGTGTGAACATATTGATGACCCTTGTTATCTAACCAAAAATAGTCAAGGAGAAAGAGTCAATAGATTCATTTGAAGTTGTAAAGCAACAATACGTAAGTGCGTTGTAAATTGGATCGGCGTTTGTTTTTGTTTTTTTGAAAACCGCTGCATTTTAAAATCTCGCATTAAATTAGTCTCAAGGTGAATGGACCAAAAAAAACACAAACAGTGGCTCACGGGTCATAGGTTCGCCGGACGAACGGCTGCAAAAGGAATTGAAACGCAAGGATATATGGAAATTAATTAAAAAAGCCTTGTTCGAAATTTACCGGGGTACCGAACTACTAAGGAAATACCGGGTAACTACAAAACCACTACACTAATTACCTTCGTTCAAACAATATGTTAAAATTTTGGTTTGGGAAAAATTTTTCAAGACTCTCAACCAAATAGCCTTTACCAAGGTGTTGAAGAAATACGACAAGGTAAAAAAGATTATTTATTTTCTTCGATTACTTTTATTTGTTTCATGTGAGAATTCAAAATAATTTCGGTGTGATAGATCGCAAACGTGAACGCTAGCAAACTGTACATGTCCACGGTGGTAAACGAAAAAGGTTTTACAAAGTCAAAAAGGCTGGAAAAACTCATCAGAGAGATCGAGGTAACTTTTGATTTCAAATTTTTTTTCACCGTGTTGTCATCCTCCTGACTTTCAACCTACCTTATTTTGTAGGATTTCTATTCAGAACATTTTGAAGAAGGTTCACGAAGGCGTTCAATGAAAAAGTTGCGGATCCCTAGCAAAAAACATATCGTATGTCCACCTTGTCTTCTTCTTAGTTGGTTGTGCTATCTTCACGATCGTCATAAGTAATCTCTTTTGATCCATTTTCTCAGAATCACTATTCTTCGGCGTGGAGAACAGGGATATATTTGGGGATGGCGATTCCTTTATTTGTTCAATCAATCTATTATGGTGAGTTACCGGTTCCACGGTCTCCCTTTTATCTGGCGAAGTCAATTGACCTTCGTACCTTTTTACCACAGTTTTTCATAAAAACAGTGATGTATTTCGGCAAAACGTGAGTGCCGGGTTTGATTACACTGACCGATATCATTTAATGCAATTATATGCTGGAATGGGCCTTCCAATAATTTTTTCTTTGATGATCGGTATTAACATGTTTGTTTGGACGCGGGCACGAATAAATTACAAGTTTATCTTTGAATTCGACCCCCGTGATAACATCGACTATCATCAATATTTAGAGGTAGGTTTCACATTATTCATATTAGTCGTTGTGATTGAATTCATTACTCAACTTCATTTTTTGTAAAAAACAAAAAAATCAGATTCCCTCCTTTATGTTTCTAGTATTTAGTTTCTTCATGTACGCAACCACACAAAACACCTTTGGAATCAAACAGGTGGAATATCCTAAAATTCTTCTGATCATCTTTTTGGCCATCATTTTTATGCCATTTAAAAGATTCTATTATGGTGCAAGACGATGGTTCATCTTTAGCGTTGTAAGTAGTATCACATGACCCTTATACACGTTTCCACGACAATATCATTAATCATTTTATCAACGAAGGCTCGAATCTTTGGGTCCCCATTTACAACTATCGGGTTCAGTGATTTCTTTATCGCCGATGAATTAACAAGTTTGACATATTCCTTTTCGACTTTACAACTTTTCTTATGCACTTGTTCGTATTCTTCGGATAGTTGCGGTAAGTTGTTTTCTTCTTGTGCACTGGGTTCTCATGTAACGATCTCGAAGTACTGATCTATCCTAGTGCTTTTATAGAATTTCTTTGCTACACATCGACTTCTTGTATCACCCCAATTCTTGCCTCCATACCCGCCATTTTACGCTCTCTTCAATGTCTCAGGCGTTTACACGACACACACAAATCAGTTCACCTGATGAACTTTGGAAAATACATGTCAACAGTTATCACCATATCCACGCTCTATCTTTACCGGAAACGTAATTCCTGAATTTTTTGATATCCGTTCTTGATATTTTTCATGAATTCTAAAGAAACTCGATTAACCAATAATCAATCATGACATATATCTTAGATATCTCAACTAATACTTCCTCAAATATCAATATCATCAAATTTTTATGGGCTCTCAGTCAAGGTGTCAATTCGATTTATACAACTTTATGGGATATTAAAATGGACTGGAGATTATTTCAATCTGGTCCAAATTTATTTTTAAGAGATCAATTGGCATATCGACGCAAATGGATTTACTATTGTGGAATGATAGCTAATGGCTTACTCAGGTGCAGTTGGATTCTCATTCTGATAAAGGATACCTCCATAGTGGTGTTTTCGGTCGCTTTTGGAGAAATATTGAGGTAATAATCAATTGTTTATTTAAATTTTAAATAAATAATTTAATTTAATGAAAGTCATTCATTCATTCATTCATCCATTAATACTCATCTTTTTGTAGACGTTGGATTTGGAACTTCTTTCGTGTGGAAAATGATGTATGCATCTCTTTTATGCTTGCTACATTTTACCATTTATTAATGCTCAATCACGTTATTTTTCTAGCACGCTAACAACTGTGTGAAATCACGAGCCATCGGAATTGATAAGATCATCAGTAAATTAAAAGGTGACCCTATCATAGATAAACAAGACCTGGGTGACTTCTCAACTCGAAGCGGTGACTCGGCCGAAGATGGGTGGAAGGATTTTGAAACAAGAAAGCACACAGCACATTATGAATATATCGAAGAAGAAGAAGACGAAGAAGAGGACGAAGAGATCGATGAATCCTATGAATACACAACTCCATCCAGAAAATATTTAATAAGTATGGATTTTTCAACTAATAGTAGTACAGGACCATACGCAAGCCGGAGGTTGCCCTTATCTATTTCAAACATAAATGATATTTCGGAAGATGAAGAATATGACGACTTAAGTATGGTATAAAGTCGAAAAGAAAATAATGGACTGGAGTTATGTGAAATGGTGAACTTTTTATAGCTTTATTCGTCCTCTGGGTAATTTTTTTTCCTTTGATAGATTAGCTTTTTTATGCTTGTTTCCATATAAGGTTTTTTTCTTCGCATTCGGTAAATAGACCTTTCTTGTTTCATATCTTTTTTTTTTTGCATTTATATTTATTTTTCAGATTTTCTTTTTATACTTCCTTCCTTTTAACCCATTCACACCATCCTACGATCAATGGAAAGGCAAAATTATGTGTATATATATTTACTTATACACATCTTTAATAGTGATAAAAGCTATTTAGAGGACTATTTATTTAAAAAAAAAAAATACAAAAAAAAAGAAAATTCTTTACTTCCTTAGTAGCGAATTTATATATACAAAAAAAAAAAAAATTTTTTTTATTCCTCAGTAGCGAATTTATATACACACAAAAAACAAAAAAATATTTTTACCTCCCTTGATGACGAATTAATATTCGTTTTACGTTTTTCTAAATATGTATGAAAAACTGGTCACTATTAATAAAACGAATATGCGGATCGACGTAGATCATTACAGATCATTAAATGTAATCATGCACTAATACTCAATTATGTAAGAATGACGTTATTACAGAAGATGGCTATAATATAAATAAAATTTGCAAATTTTCAAATTTTCATCTGGTCCTATTTGATATTCCCTATGTTTTATAATCGATCGATACGTCTTCGTTCAACTTCCAGCTTGAAGCTGCACAGGCCTCATGGCAAGTTTGATGGATCCTTTAACGTATGTATGTTCGAACACACCCTTATGAAATCTCTCTTTATTTTTTTTAATAATCATTCGTCTTCTAGTATACGACTTTGGGATACGGTGACCATTTTAATAAGGATAAAGATTCCCTCGACCATGGGCCCAACCTCAACAAAACAAACCGCAGCACGGATGTTAAGAACAAAAATCGTCAAAATCACAATGCTCAAATTTTGAATAACAAGAAAAAACAGGTGAAGAGTGAGAAGGATGGCGATCGACTTATACCAGAACATCGTCGCGCACCCGATCATGAAATAGAGAAAGATGAGGATTATGTTGAAGGAGACTATTGGAGTGAACCAGTCGGACAAACCAAAAAACCATAACGTGGCACAAGTGTCCATTGATATTATCTCGTCCATAGTTACGTGACAAGAACGATTGTGTCCTTGACAATATATATATCACTTTGATATTAAAAGTAATAAATAAAATGAGTGTGTTCTCTACTTTCGCTCAATTGTTCTAATTTTCTGTAAAATGTCGCGACTTGTGCGTCCTCGGATTCTATGCACATCAAGCGATCCGAATTTAAATTCCCGAAAAGGAAATGTGGCTTAGGCTGATGATGTTAATAAAAGTCGTTGCTTTTTCGGCCCCATAATTTCGCATTGGGGAAATGATCGAAAACGCCTCATTGATAAAACAGGGAGCCGAAGCTGTAAGTAATGTGAAAGAGGTTTGACGGTGTAATAATTGGAGTTTATCTGATACGTTCCTTGCAAAAAAAAAAGCGCGTGTACACAGCTCCTTTCTTAACTCGAAAGGCAATTGTTAAAGAAAGATTTAGAAAAACTTATCGCCACCCAGCCCTTGATAAAAAGCTTACTGCTAGAAGAGTTACTCAGGTTCAAATTTTTTCTCAACCGCCTGATTCAAATATTTTTATTTTGTTTGCTTCGACGAATTCCCTTCTTGTTTACTCTAACGAATTCCTTTTTTCAACATGTAAAAGGAAGCACGAAGTCTCTTCAAATGTCATAAATCAGGTGTTGATACTCCGATACTATATTTTGTAGATGTAGAAAGGAGTACAATATATATGGAGTTTGTTGAAGGAAAAGTTGTCAAGGACTTGATACTGGAAACAGATGGAGAATGGTCCAGTGAAGAAAATAAAGGCACTTTGTATAAACAAATGAAGTGGATGTTTATTGATTTAATTGTTCGATTTGACTTAATGAGCTGTCCCTACACGATAATTACCTCTAGCGCAACTGGCAGAAAAGATTGGAACAGCGATAGCAAGAATGCATGCTGTCGATGTTATTCACGGCGATTTGACTACCTCCAACCTTTTGTTGAGAGATTCAAATAGATCTCTGGTTTGCGATTACATTATTCTTTAACATATCAAGGAAATTCGGTACTATTAATATAGCTCGTATGTAATTTAGGTGGTTATTGATTTCGGATTAAGCTATGTTTCTTCTCTTCCGGAGGACAAGGCCGTTGATCTGTACGTACTCGAAAGGGCCTTTCTGAGTACACACCCGAATTCCGAAGATATGGTGAATTTAGTTTGCCTTTCAATCATGGATTTTAATATGCTCTTTTAATTTATCAAGATGATTGAACAAGTTTTATGCTTAGTTTAAGGCCATTCTAAAGACTTATGAAAAAAATTATAAAGCCTCCAAAGGAGTTTTGACAAAGTTAGCAGATGGTAATCTTTATTTTATTTATTTTTTTTTGTTTTGTTTTAAAAAAAAAAGTCGAAATGTTTTGATCATTCTAACTTTATTCTTGAATTTCTGAAGTTCGTTTAAGAGGACGTAAGAGAAGTATGGTTGGATAGAGGGTACGAGAATTATCAGTTGATCAAGATAAAATAAAATTGCTGATTATACTGTATATTACATCCTACATGATTTTTGCAAATTTATTTTTGAATTTATATAAATATTTGATAATTAAAATTTTATACTCATTGATCCAGGTGCGTAGAAAAAACAACAGGGGATTAATTAGAACTTTAGAATAATTTTTTTATTGATAAAGTTTTAATCAACAATCATTGATTTTAAAACAAATCCATTATCATCTATCATTTTCAAAAACAATGGGATTACCTAGGCTAGGTTTACAGTCTATATTGGTTTTGTTTGAATAGTATAAGATTTATAATAGAAAAATTGAAATTACAATTATTTTCTTATGTATTAGGTAAAAATAGATAAACAAAATGTTGTAATAATTAATATTATAGTATTTTCAAATGATTTTTTTTTTAAAAAGAACAAATATGAGTTGTAAACCATTTAATTATTGTGTATTAATTAAAAAAAATACAAAGAATATTAGCAAAAAATGTATTATAAAAAATGTTAGTCAAAATAAATCTGATAAATAACAAATCTATGGTTTTACAGTATATTTATTTTATTGACATTTGTTATTTAAATTATTTATTTAAATTGGTATCAAAGAATTATAAATATATTGTTATTTCAAAGTTCAAATATTGCATTAATCTTATTTGATGACAAATATTGAATTTTGATAAAAAGTATATAGAGATTGCAAAAAAAAAAAATTTTATTATATTTCTATTTCTAACTTAATAAAAAATTATTAAAATCAAATCAAAATATTAAATATAACTGCATTAATATTAATAATCATAATTACTTGAAAATTAATTTATTAATTAGTATATTATTTTGATTTAATATTTTGGTTTTTATAAAAAATTTTTTATTTTTATCTTTAATTCATATTGTTTTAAAAAAAAACAATATAATTTATAACAATAAAAATATAAGACTACTTTATTAAATAATTTATTTTATTATAAGTATTTTGAATATTTTATTTATGATAAATCAATAAAAATTAAATAATATGCTCAAGCTCAAATTATATATATTTATAAAAAAACCATCTTGATAGATTAGAATTTAATTTATAAAGTTTTTTTATTTATTAATATAAAAAAAAATTATTTTTTTTTACTATACACTAATTGAAATCATTGCTTGATATGCTTTATTATTGTAAAGATTTGTGAATTAATTATATACTGTATATTAAATATATGACAACTGCTATAATTTTTATTATATCTATATATTGAACTATATTGAGATTTCTTCAAATATCAGTTTTGAGTTATTAATTTATACTATAGCCTGGGTTATAACAAAAAGACCAAGACTAGTGTGCCAAGACTCCACTAATATATCAGCATTACTGTCTATTTAGGCTTTTATTTGAAAGTATATTAAGGGAAAAAGAAAATAGGAAACTGAAAATAATATATTTTTCAATAAATAAAACCCTATTTAAGATTAATCTTACTGCTCTATACCACTTGCAGCTGGCCTTTAATTATTTAATTTCTGTTTTTCTATTATGGCTCAAGAATGTTCAAGGTACTTATAATTATATATTTACAATTTATAGCAGTCTTGCAGCTACTTGGGAATACTAGATATCTTCTTAAGATAAGCAGTACAGGAATGAACTTCTTATTGGATTGGAATATGACTTTCAGATAACCTTTTGCAGAAAGATACTAGATATTATAGAAAGTGATTACCAAACTATCTTGTACTAAATTAAATACCTTATACATTATACATGTTGCTGAAATTCATAGATCTTTGACGCAATTGACACAATTATTTGACGCAATTAATTGAGTCACTATTAAAACATATAAATAATTGAGTCATGATGCAATTATTTTTGAGGATTTTGAGAATTGAGTCAACAGCAAAATAATTTATACCACATGTATATTATACATCTTGTAACTTTTGGCAATCGTCATAACACTAACTAGATAATTTTTGTGTTACTATATTTTTTCTAAAAATAATAATCTCAATACCTACTGAATAAGCATATGAAATGGCTTTTCATGAAAAACAGCATTTTTTACAGATTATGGCAACAGATATTATATTAATTCTATTTAACTACTTTTATTTGAAATTAAATTGATATTTTGTGATCTAATTTGTAGAGTATTAATCACTACATTATAGATCCATAGATTATTAATATAAAAAAAATTTTTTTGGAATTTTTTTATAATGTTAAGTTGATGTTAAAATAATTAATTAAAGTATAATATATTTATATATAATATATAATAAAAAATTTTGAAACTTTATTTATATAATATAAATATAAATAACTTTTTTAAAACAAAAGCAATTTACTTGAAATTTTAAACATATAAACAATATATCTTAACAAATATATATCAGTAAATTTAATATGACAATATTTCTGAAGTTTTTTATAATAAAAATCTCCAAAAATTATATATATATTTTTCAAAAAATATTATTTTTTTTTAAATAACAATTAATAATGGAATAAATAATTTTACATGTTTTAAAATTTTTTATTGAAATTTTTATATTAATAATATATAATATTAAAATTATTAATTATTATTACTATCTTTACTCTAAAATATATAAATTATTAGAAATCTTCAACATCAAGATTAAATATGGTTTCAGTAATTCAATCAAATTCGATAACTATCTAATCCAAATATTCAAGCCTCATAAAAACATTAAATACCTTAAAGTACTTATTTCCTTTAGAAGTTTACTCAAGTTTAATAGAAAGACTCTCAATTAAACCACAGATACAATTCTGAAAGAACTCTCCAAACATAATTAAAAAGATAAGATCAAACAACAAATCTATAACTAGGTTATTATAGGCAAGTTTGAATACTTCCTCTTCATATTATATTTCAACAAGTCTACTCTTAATATATTTCAATTCAAATTTAACAAACTTATCAAATCAGCCTATAAAATTATATCCAAATGCTTGAATACAATTCTTATTAGCCATAATAGTCTCAATATAACTTTTCTCAAAAAAAAGCAATGATTCTCATTAATTGATAACCTAATATCCAAACTCTCCATGTCAATAACTAGAAAGTATTTTCTTCAAGACTTGTTATTAATTCAAAAAAATGAATTAATCTGATTCTGTTCAATCTGCAACTTAGAGAAATTTAGTCAAGACAATTAGATTATATATATAGCTAAGATTACAAAAGATCTCAAAATTCAAATCTGTTCAATTAATTGTTTAACATATTTTAATAATACTGAAAACTTTATTGGTCTTTTGTTTAAAAGCCTGTAATTTCCTAACAAACTTAGTAATTAATACAGCAAATGCCTTAAACATCAAATTTGTTAACTGACTTTTAAAATACAACAATACAAAAAAGCTTTTATGACTTCAACTTATATTACACACAGGAATAGTATATTATAAATCTGAATCCAATTGGTTTAAAGATTTCAACAATCCAAACAATCTCCTTGAAATCTACAATCCAGTATCCAATTCCAAACCATTATTTTGATACTCACACAACTTCAATTGCATTATCAAAATATATAAGAAAAGTTATAATATAAATGAGAGATCAAACTTTAAAAAAGATACTATTCTATCAGTCCAAACAATACTCTGTTCAGGTGTAATGACTGTCCACTAGGAACACACTCTATTGGCTTTTGCACATTATTTTTCACAAGCCCCACAGTATCTTTATTATAGATAGTCTCAAACCTCAACAGTTTAAACAAACATCAATTATATAACATAATCAATGAACTGTCTATTATATCACAACAAGAAGAAAATATTTTTCAATTTATCAACAATTTTTTCATTTTCTCTTTCATCTCAGTACTTTAAAGAATCAGCTTTTGTCAATACTACTATTTCCAACTTTACCAGAACAAGACTTTTATAAATAGTACAAAAATTGTTTCAATTAATCCAAACATTTTTTAGGAGATTTCCTTTATATAATAATAAATATCTTATATTGATGCTTATCAAATTGTATCATAGAAATAAAAAGCAATAAAATAATTCTTCAAAAAGTTTCTAATTATCTAAGAAAAATAACAAAAACCAACTTTGCTTTGATAATACTAAAAATTAACAAACTAATATAAGATAAATTAATTCAAATCAAATATACCAATTTCAAATCCAATCAAAGATCTGACAATACTTTTCAATGGATCAATCCATCACTCCACTTCTATAAAGGTCCACTAATTAACAATCTATAATTAGGTAGCAGTGTCAAATGATACAAAAAATTTTACATATTATCAAGACCTATATAATTTGCAAAAGCTTCTCAGTTCTAAAAATATTCAAATATACTCATAAACTTCATAATCTTAAAATTATCAACAAATTGAACAAAAAAATAAAAAACTCTAAAACCAACAAATACAGTAATCTTATTACCTTCAGAATCAAATTGTTTTCAAGAATTTTTTTAATAAGAGAAAATTTTCATAAATTATATTCAGAACAATACATTGACCCATATTATCTTCAGTATAGTTTATACACTAAGGATATTCAACATGTCTTCAAATACTTATTAGCATCAGAAAATATAGTTAACTTATCAATATCATCAATATTATTCTTTATTCAAATGATGATCACAAGCTAATATTACATATCTAACAGTTAACAAAGCTGACATGCAACATTACTAATAATATTTTCTCTATAATCAACTTCTTTAATTGGATCAAAGTCTTAATTGAGATTCTAACTTGCTTATACAAATCAATCTGAATATTTCACTATGCTATAGCAAACATCTCTTCCTTTACTGATATTAAATGGAACAATAATTTTTATAGTAATATAACAAAACAAACTATTAAAAACCCAGCCAAATCCAAATTATCCAATAACTCTTTTATATTAATATTAACTATCATAGATATACCTATTATAGTTGCTAACTCTTATATCCAAAGTGGATTC